TCAATTGTCACCTGATTCTGATATGTATAAAAACCTCAACATTAATTTTCATAAGTTACTCTGAATTTCGTTTCGAGATATATACATTATTCTCGACATGATTTTTTTTTCTGAATCTAATTTCGTTATAATATGTACATAAGGTACAGTACCTTGGTGGTCTTTGATTGCAATTTCGCAATTTGGTTCGTTAGGTTACTTTTGAGTATGATAATGAGGTGTTGATGGCTAAACAAGTGATAGTAGATGTTAACAGGACCGAAGTTGAGTTCAAGTAGTCCTGGTAGTATTTTTATCTTGTTTTTAATGTTGATTCTTTCAGATTCCCCGAAGAACTCCGTAAAGGAGCTGGTGTTTTAACTGTCAAGTTCGTGGGGACTAATAATGATAAAATGTGTGGATTTTACCGGTCTAGGTAATATAAACTATCGAACTCACATCAATGTCCTTAGTAGTAGTCCTTTGAATAACACTAGGCATTGTGGTTGTCATCGCATTTGAATAGGTCCCGCAGCCTCCGCTGCATCCGTGGTGTTGTTTAGGTACACTGATCTCGATGGGGAAAGCCATTATATGTTGACGACACACTTTGAAGCGTGGTATGCTCGTAGGGCTTTCCCTTGTGTGGACGAGCCTGCGAGGAGAGCTATCTTTAAGATTACTATCACCACTGAAGCTGATAAACAGGTAGTAGGAATGCATTCGTCCTGGTGACCAAATTAAGTATATAATCAGGTTGTGTCGAACATGCCTGTAGCGTCAAGAGAAGTGTTTAAGGGTGGCAAGGATAACAAGACCGTTTATCAGTCGGTCGAGTTTATGCCAACTCTTAAAATGAGCACTTATTTGATCGCATTTTGTGTGGGAGACTTCGAATGCGTGCAGAAGATGACGAAGAATGGCACGTTGGTAAGTACTTGCTGTTTAATTTTTGCAGTTGACTTATCGCGAAAGTTCCATTCCCGGTAGTTGTATTTCTGCTCAGTTAGAGTGTTGTGCACTCCGGGTAAGAAGTGCTTGAGTACTTCGCCTTAGATACCGGTGTGAGGCCCTCGAATGGTAAGTTATGATGATA